TTAAATTAGTTACTAATTACTAAACGAAAAAATAACTATATTCGTACTGATATAAATTCCATTAATTATTATAGAAGGTTTGCCAGTAATTGTTAATATTTCCATATTATTTTACGCATTATGTTTTTCTAAAGAACTTTTAGGCAATCTCAGATGAATATTATTGTGGATATTTAATATATTTCGTTTGTTAAGGGTTACATCTGATAATATTAAAAGTATTAAATCACTTGTTCTTATTTCTGTATGAATTAATTTAGCTCAGTGATTCCCAACAATCCAAACCTCTTATATCCTATGACCCTTTTGTAAATTTTCAAAAATCTCGCGCTTTCTCCTTCTATAAATTAAAAAAAAAAAAATATATATATCAACTTTTTTAAATACTTAACAAAACAAACTATTCAATAATAAAAATGACTACTTTTTTATTGCTGATAAATGATAATAGTTATAAAATACGATAGTAAATAATATAATGGAATAATCAATTAATATGAATAATTATACTAATAAATTAGTATAAAATGTAAATAATAGAATATATAATACTCACAAATCGTTATCGATAAAAAGATAGCCGATAACCATTCGTTATTATTATTTATTTTTTCCCTATATTGTAAAATAAAAATAGTTTAATAAATAAAATGTTACTTCTTAATAACTGCTTACGCCTCCCTAGCATTATTTACACGTCCCCCAGGTTGGGGAAAAATTATAAATATAATATATAAGATTATAAATTTGTAGATTTTGTTGATTTTGTCAAATTGTCAAGGATTGCGTTTTCAATTTTTAAATAACACGAGAATTTAAGTCTATCGTTTCAAGTATCTTATGAAATTAAAATTTATGGTCATCTACTATAAAAATTATCTTATTTTATTCACTTGTCATTGCATCCATTGTGCGATCGTAACACTAGTATCATGACGAAAAATTTTAAGAACTGTAGTTTTGAAATTGAACGCTCAAATTAAAATTTAAATCTAGTGACTAGTCGTCACGGTCATCGGCTTATTTGACGATGAGTTTTTCTGATAATTGATAAAGTCTTTCCAAACACTATCGGCAAACTGACTATCAATAATCAGTTATCAGCTATCACTAATTAGTAATTGGTGACTACACAGTACACACAGAATAAAGAGATTTTCTTTTTATTATAAATTATCATTAATTATAAGTTAAATAAAATTACATATATAGGTATTCATTTTACTCGAGACTCAATTTACCTAGCACGTTAAAGACTTTCAGACTTGATTTACCTAATTCCAATGTTCACCCAATAATTTTAAACTCAGTTTATTACCCCCAATTATATGTAACTAAAAAATAAATAATTATATGTGCTATCTACAAATAAATATTAAATTAATTTACGATAAGAAACATCAACATAACTGCTTTGGTACTATTTAGTGCCTACATACAAGTTTGGTATGTTTATCAAACTTTAAAAAAACGATCTTAATGCTAATTTATTAAATAATTCAAAGTATAAGTTTTAGTTAGTATAAGTTGATTCAAAACAATTTGGTACATAAGTAACTAATTCGACTTATATAAATAACACTTTGAATTTAAAATTGCGTACATTGTTTTCATTGATTATTTTATACAAAAGTATACATAGGTACCTATATGATCTATGGATAACCTAAAAATAAAAATAACAAAACTGTTAATTAATTCGTTGGGTACCTACTATCTAGGCTATTGTATACATCAAATAGCAGGTAAAATTTAAATTTTAAATCTTTAACACAGTTGTTAGTGGCGTACGCAGGACTTTTCAATGGAGAGGGCTTAAATATTAATTACAATTTTATTTTTATTTTGTCCAATCAAATAATTTCAGACGCATTTAGGTGAGGTATTTGAAAATGTTTGTACAACTTCAACTACACTCAAATTAATAAAATGCTTGAAGCAAATTGTATTAATACTTTTGGGAGATCGAAATTAAAAATTCTCAGTACTTTTTAAAATAACCGGAAAATCCGAAACACATAAATAAATGAAAAATTATTAAAATTGTTTGTAACATACCTATGTTAAACTGTATCATCGTTTAGATTGTATTTTATTAATTTTAATTTTTCTTTCTAAAAATGTCAATAAAAAAAAATATTTATTTGATTAAAAAACTTAAAGATGTAATACAAGATTCCTTATAAGTTATATTATAGTTATTTAAAAATATTAACGATACATAGGCGTAATTATTTTTAATTTAAAGCATTTAAAGTTCATATTTTGACAGAACCTCAATTAATTTGTAGTCAAAAATACATAAAATAATAAATTTTTAAGGCTAAGGCTTGGCAATTTAATAAAAGGTAATTTATACAAATAGTTCATACTTTTACCAAATAATTAGTGATCATTTTGGAAAAATTGGTTTGTAAATATACACTGTTTTTGCAAAAATGAATTTATTCCAATAAGACGTATATGAATTTACGTCTTTCTTACTAGTTGACGATAGTTGAAACTCGATAAAAATTTTAAAAATTTAAAAAATAAATAGTACTATTACGGTCAAGGGGGGGGGCTTTAGCCTGTTAGCCCCCCTACGTACATCACTGACAGTAATATTATAACAAATTAAGTACTAAAATTAAATCATTAATTTAGGTAGTATAGCTAATACCTCCTATTCATCATTAATATTTAGAAACAAATCTTTCGATTTGTTATTTTATTTTTATAACTTTTACCATTTTTACCATAATATATTTAGACGACTTAAAATCTAATAATATTAATTAAAGACATACATTTCGGTACAGATATTATGCTGAAAATAAGGCACGTATTTTTATCATCATTTTATTTCTTAGAATGTAAACAAAATAATACATACACACCTTAATTATATCATTCTCATTACCAAAGCTAACCAATGAAAATGATTTCTAAATATGGACAATGTACCCCACACTCCACACTTCCATAAGCTACAGAACAATATGCAAAACATGATATTATATAAATACAATTTTATCAAAGTATGGTATAATAATTAATAATATAATAAAACAATTTTTCAAAGCTAAAATTTGGATTTCCAATAAAAAATAAATGAATTGTATTTTTCGATGAGAATTCTGAAGACAATTTCAAGAACTTAAGTTTAATATTTAATAAATCTTAATTTAAAATGTGAATACAAATATAACCCATGTATTTAAAAAAAAAAAAAAATTACAGTATCTATTTGAGTCTATACAGTAGTATTTATATAAATAAAAAAAAAAAGTACTGTATAAAACAATTTTGAAAAACTGTCATAGTCTTAGTAGTTACTACCTATAAATTTAGAAGCACACAGTAATCACAATATCACAGCATATTATTTTAACCTAAATACGTTTATTTAGAAAAATTGTTTCATTTTTAATCAATAGTGTTATTGTGTAATAGTGACTAAAAAAATAACTAACTAATGTAAAACAGTTTAAAACAATAAAATGCTCGATAAAATGCAATTCTATAAATTAAATTAGCAATGTATGAAACACATTTTATGGTAAACATATTATTGTTTTTCAGCAAATTATAAACTGGGCATCACTAATATCACAATATAAAACAATCCTAACAATCTAAATGGTTGATTTGTAAACATTGCTAAAATTATATTAAATCATTATTTTTTAATGAATATCAACACCAGTTATTAAATTTACATGATTAAATGTTTTAATTAGTTTAATATATAAATTTGAGTTGATCAGAAGTTGATCTAAATTGTATTAAATTTCCACTTAATCGCTCATTGGAGGCTCTCAGTTTTCTATCCACTATAAATGTATTTGTTTTTGTACACATTCTCAGAAACCGTTATCTCTTAAATTTGCCTATGCACAGAAAGTTACACTGTGCTATTTTTATGAATTTTAATTTTTAAATTTTGAAGTCATATAGGTTATTTTATACTATTTATCGCTGTCAAGTATATTTTATTATATATAAGTTCTACCAATATTTAGTATGTTAAATTTTACTAATTTGGATGCTAATAAACAAATAATAATTGTTATTATTTTTCAAATTAATCATCAATTATCCAATTATTAAAATAATTATAAACAATTATTTGGTGTTAACATTACATACAATTAAACATATGGGAAATAACAATAAAAGAAACCACACATAGTAATAAATATAATCTTTATTTTTTCAGTTTTCACTTGTTAATTAAAAGTGTAAATTATAAAAAAAAAAGTACATCATTACATATCATTCAAAGTTAATTAAATTGTTCTACTCATTGTGATATTTACAACTATCACATTTGTGATGCATAGGTATACATATTATAATTTATTGTACAATCACTTAAGTGGTGTCCAGTAAAATATCATGACTATATTATTACATTAAATAATGACTTAGAAAAAATATATGTTTACCTTAGCATAATACTACAACAATGTTTGTGCCTATGATAAATTATTAAAATAAAAATTTGATAAAGAAACCAGCCCTAACTGACTATTGACTAGAACGGCCTGTAGTTCAATATAGTATCAAAACAATTCTTAAAGATTTATTTTCATTTCCCTTACTTAACGTTAATAACATTTTATAATATTTTATTGAATATACAGTACAATAATTATGTCTATATAACAATAATAACAATAATCAAACTTAATTTTACAAAAAAAAGCCAGTCTTCCTGGCTTACCATTGTGCACACCTGGTGCTTACACCTAATAAAATTATTGAATAAAATCAGTCATTTTTTTTCTTCTATTTGTTAAAATAAGGATAATGTTAATACAACTTATATAAAAATCTAATTTGTAAGAATATGAAGTTTAAAAAGAAAATATGTATATAAATATAAATTTACTCCAATAAACCGATATAAATGACAAGACTGTCAAATAAAATTAAATTAAAAAAAAAAAAAAAACAATTCATAACATTATATTATAATAATAAAAATGACTGATGAAAACTGTTTAGATTAGCAATTATTTGGCAATAGTTATTTACAATAATAATTAAAAAAGTTAACAAACAATGCCCAAAAAGAATAACAGAAAGACCAAGGAAGACAATATTTATTTGTAAATCTTGATAACGTCTTTAATAACAGCACGGCAAATCGGACAACGGCCCAAACGTACCCATTGTTTCTTAGCGCATTCGTAGCACATGCACAGATGCCCGCATGTGTACAAAGCGCAGTCAACTGCTCTTTCGAAACAAATCGAACATTCTCCTTCGCCGGAAGGCAATTGCTGTGAGGGGAAAAAATCAAAATTATTACTCGTGTCCAACACTAAACAACTTATAAATTGCGTGCTTCACATCGTCGTCGTGTACGAACGGCGTGTCAAGTATAATATTGTTATTTACACCGAAATTATCGTCTACGGTCGTCTATTAATATCTTACCTCCGGAAGATGCGGTTGTTGGACAGGAGCGACTCTTGGCTGTATCTGTTGGATGGTGACGGACGGCGGTCTAGCGGACATTTGCTGATTGTGCTGCATGCCGGAAGACGCCTGCGACAGGGCCGGTGACGGATGACACATCTGGTTGGTCTGAGCAGCGGGTAGGTTTACGATGAGCACGGTACCGCCATTGGCGTCCGTGTTCACTTCCAGGATGTTTGACCGAACCATTGGTTGCTGCGGCGCGTAGCATACAGTCGGCTGAGCGGCCGACGACACCGTCTCGTAGGAGGTCGACGGTTGTGGTGAAGAATGCACGATGGCGTTCGGGGTGCAGCCCACGGACGGCCGGGGGGCTTGCATTTTCGACACGACGATCTGCGTGGTCGTGCCGTAAATGTCGAACACCCCCCACAGCGTTTGCGAGTGGTCCACGCACATCAGCACGATTTCTGGGTTTCCGTTTTTGCTGCACAACACTTCGCCTGTAGAACAAATAAAAACACACCGTTTAGTTCGGTTTCCGGGAAACATGCGGACACTGCATCATTGCGATGTGTTTACATTAATTAATGAGACGCACGAAGCTAATGCCAGAACACAGCTCGAGTGCTTGATCCATTATCGGCACACAAATATAATTTATTTTAGAACGATGTTAAAAATATTATGAAAATTATATCATTATTATTTTGTCAAATTATCATACGGTTTTAAAATATTTCGTGCACGTAACATTTGATAGTTGTGAGGTTAACCGTTTTGGATACCGCGTGTACATTAGGTACGTCTCATTAAAATATAATATTTAGCTATACTCGGTGAGTGTAATGTCATGTACCGTTGTTGTTGATGGAGAATATCAGCACGTCGCCGGGCTTGGTCTCTTCCGCGACGTTCCTGCTCATGACCCAGTACTCGCGCCGGTCGACCAGCTGGTTGGGATCGTCGGGCAGTTCACCGATGCCGATGCTGCTCGGGTCGCAACACGTTACGCCGAACGAAAGGCTGCCCACGTACAGCTGACTGGTCTTTGTGATCTGTACTAGGTATTTCTCGCCGATTTGCAGCGGCCGTTTCGTGAACGTGTACCCTTGGAAAAAGGCTGTCGACAGCCTGGTGCCCACGCACGGCACACCGTCTTTCATACTGATCATCACGTGACGGCCCTTACGCACTAGTCCTAACGGTTCTACGTTGTCTACTGCTTGACAGCGTGGAGGAGACGGAACCACCGCCGAAGAGCCAGATATGGTTACGGAGGACAGCTGAGAAGAGATTTCCAATTCATCGCTATACGAAGAAAAAACGAGTAAAATAGAGTTAATACTTAGTACCACACAATATAATTGTATTATTACTTGGAAGAAGGTTACATATTATTTAATATTATGAAAAATGTTTTTAAATTTTACACTACAGGTCATTGTTGTCGAATATATAGATTTTAAAACAATAGTCTTTAATTTTTTAAAAGGTATATATTATACTAAACTAGTGATATTATTTGACATCACCTCCCCCCTTATTTCAAACTATTGGTTAACGCCTTCGCGCGTGTGTTCCACCAAAATATCTACTCGTTATCTATTTATAATGCAAAACAATTTCAATCGATTTTTATGTAATCCTATTCATTCTTCCAAATTATATATGATATCATTTTTTTGAGGTAAACACATACCTTCTGGAAGCCCTGTTGTTATTCAGCTGTGGACGGCAGTCGAAAAACTCGACGATGGTCGAATTTCCGTAAATGTCCAACAACACCCACAGCGGTGACCTGGTATCAATACCCTGCATGAACACGCCTTTAGACTCGCCATTGAGGCCATAATGGACGTCGCCACCAGCGTCAACATAGAAAAATAGCAAACCATCCTGAACTGCGTGCCGTTCACTAAGCGCTTTCGCCCAAAATCCCGATTTGCTGGTCAGATCTATAGAAACGAGCGAAATTGAAAATAAGTATACAAATACATATAAATAGATAATAATAAATAATGGAGAATAATATAATGTCTTCAAGACTTCAAAAGTAGGTAGCGATCACGAGTTTTTCAGATACGTATAAAAAAAAATAGTGGAATATCATATCGAGCACTCACCGGGACAAGCGTACTTCGGAACTTTTTTGACGTTCGACGGGTCTTCGCTGGTAAACCCGAACCGGAGTACGCCGCTCCAATTGTCGGATATCTCCAGGAACTTGATGTACACCTTTTCATTGATGGCAACCGGCCGACTGCTGAACGCAACTCCCTTGCAAAAGCTGTCTACCCGTCTGGCGACAAACCCGTCTTTGTACAGCCGGATATTTTCGCCATGTACGTTATGAAACCTCAACGGCGGTAGGTTAAGATTGACAGCGCCGGTGCCAGATTTCGGTGCTGTAAATGAAAAACGTAAAACCGTTAGACGACTGTAACAACCCTGTGTATATGATATTATATTTAAACAATAACTATATAGTATTATGTTATCGTTAGACAGCAGAAAACTATAACGTTTTAATTAATATTTTAATAATTTAATTTTGGAGCGACAAATTTACAACAATAATAATATATTGTAATATTGTGTGGCTCTGCATATGTGTGTGTGTGTGAGTGGGTACGAAGCGAGGAATCGTCGAGTTTCTTTTATTCAGCAATTGTCACGGTCGAGTTTCCCACGACGACGACGTACGGTTAATATAAAAATGTGTTTCGTACGTACATATCACAATATTTTATGTATATATATATATATATATATATATGTATATGTATAGAGCATAGGTATGCCATTACGATTGGTGTGGGACAATACGAGCGGTTCCCTACACATGGTGACTATACGTATTATATGTATGTACGATGACCGCGACAATGCACATGAAAAGCGGCCGCCAATGGCCGTGGGGTAGTCGAATGTGACATGTCATAAATGGAACAATGAGACGACGCGGACGGAGGACCAACCTGCAATACGGTACAACAATAAAGCCGGAATCGAGTGACGAGTATAGTAAACATTTTTCGGTTCCAGACATACATGAAAATCATTTTTTATGAACGTTCTTGATTATAATATTTTAATTACACAATAATAATAATAACGATCGTGGTGCTCGAGTACAAAAACCAGAAAGACACTGCCGCCGCTTTCTGATTCAACGATTTCGTGTTGTACACGAAATTAATTTTACGGAAAGATTCGAATCGGACTACAACAACATCAGACCGAACCAAAAATTAAATAATAATAAACAAAAAACTACTTGGCAGCTCAGATATGGTTGCAGGTTTCGTCTATGCATTGTTAAATTACATTATTTATATTCAATTTTCCCCCCGGCAGACCGTGAACTACATAGTATGTTTCGCATGTGTGATTGCCAGGTGGTTGAACGCGTGTTAGTGATTCGTATATCCGGTGGTTTAAGCGGGCACGTAAAAAGGGTTATTATCGTAAAACCAACGACGATCATATAATATTATACATACACATCGCCGTCTTGGTGGAGTGTGCGTATACAACTAAAGCCGAATGACTATAAACAACGCGAAGAAAATGGAAAACGTCCCCCCAAAACGGTTAAAAACGTCATATTATACGATGCATATCATAAAATACAATTGAATGTTATCTGTTTCAGTCGGGAACACATTTATTAGATAAATATAATAAATGCATATGAATTCGCATAGTATTTTAATATGTACAAGAATATTATAAATAATATCATAATCCACGATAATATGATACGAGTTAAAATAATAACGAAATCGTGAAGAACACGCACGCTATATTATAACGGGAACTTTGACGAGTATCACGCAAGAGTGAAAACTCGACTACTGTGGAAGAAAGTGGTGGATGGGGATCTAGGCTTACTACCCTACACGTTATCATAACTCTACGTCAAGTATACGCGTAATACGTATATGACATATAATATAGATATATATGTATAATAAAAGCGTTTCGATTACTCGGTCGCATTGTTTGCGGGCGCGCGAGCAAACGAAAGACAAAACACGCGGGATGGTAACGAGAGAAACAGAGAGAGAGAAAGAGAGAGAGTGAGAGAACAACATGAAAAAACCAACCTATATAATGAAAAAAAAAATTATAATATTATATTATTACACCGCGCGCAACACGGAGGCGGCTACGACGATCCGGTCTTGTGCACTAGAAAATTTCGTATTACAATCGCGCAGCATGCGCGAGGGTGGGAGGGGAACAGTCCCATTGTGTACGCGGGGCGCGCGGTTTCCGGTGGCCCGCCCGCCCGCCAGCCCATCACGCACAACCGCGACTGGTTCTTGCGCACGTCCGCCGGAAGTCCGAATTCGTAGAGCGCCAAAGACGATGTTTAAATACGACACGATCGCGCAGAGCACAATATAATATACTCTTCAGCTGCGCAAGCGCATCGTTGGCGGTCGAGATATCTAGCGGTCCGTATGCAAATCACTGGGGGAGAGTGAGGAAAACCTGCAGTTCAAAAGACTGAGAAGCCGGTAATAACTATCGGTCGGAATATGCATTATGTTGTTCTTTTAAAAGAGCAAAATTAAAATTGTAACCACAATAATAATGACGCCTCGATCTTTTTTCAATATCAACCTTGATTCGACTCTTCGAAATCGATATTTTTATATTATTTCACGTCTATTATTGACTGTTGGTAGGCAATAGTTTACTGTTATATGTATTTGATTTAACTGTGAAATGACTGTAAGTATACAAGACTGGTTCACAGCTACGCCATCTGTTGTTTCGTGTGACTTTTATTTCGTAAAATACTGACTGGCCGTGGAAATCGTGGTATCATTTTACTAACTATATAATTTAATCCACCGGGAAACTTCCAGAGTTGGGTCGATTTCAACTTTCAGACACGAATGACGACATAATATAGCTATCATATAATACGTAGCTATAGGCGGTCTTTGCATTTTAAAATTCTTAACATAACGCCCTGCAGTGGTTAGCCCAATTACCTCCACCCCAACGAACGGTGTTATAATCCGGAGCCCGGATGCTACAATACAAGTATATATATTTACACAGATACAATTAAACAATAATAATTATATTAAATTATTATTAATATAATAATCATCGTATCGGAAAACCGCAGCGGCCGCCGCGCGCATTTAAATGGATCACGTCGGCGTACGGCGGCGCTTTTTGTGTATGCGTATCAGGCACGGGCGGTTACGAATAATAAAAAAAAAAAAAATAGTAATAGTAGTTATAATAATAAACCGTGAGAACGGAATGATGTCACTGTGCAGCTCGGAGTAGTGAGCGGCGAACGGCCAAAACGATACGGCATAAAATTTACTACCTATATGCCTACACTCGTCGTAGTCAGTCGACGGCGTACTTACACGCTGCAATGACATCGTAAGCACTAGAAACGGTCGTATGTACATCGTCTATTATCGGTGTACATTGTTATACTCATATCATTATTATCGAGTGCACGACGAGACCATCATTACGCAGAGACGTATACCTACCTGTGTTGCGTACCCGAGGAGAGAGAGAGAGCAGTCGTCGTCGCTACGCGTAAAAATCCCGGCAAACGTTATCGAAAGCTATTATTTTTACAACGATCGACGATGATGACGTTATTGACGTATCGCCTATTGCCTATCGTATATCCGTGCGCCCATAACAGTTAGGTAGGTACCTCTATATTTACACGGCGATACGTACGAAATTTTAAAACCGGGATTACCGCTCGAGCCAATATTTATCTCTATCTTACCTACACCATAATACCTTATAACGTAACATATTATACTACACAAGAGTATTACAATTAAAATCTATGTGCACGTCGCTTACGGCCGTTGTTGTCGTCGTCATTTCGCAGCATCGAAGTCTGTCGTCAGTCCGTGTTCCGCTCGATTCGCGATCGTCGTACGGAAAGTCCGATCGTGACTTTTATACTGTGTATAATAAATACGCGTGTACCTACAGCCGACAGTGACAATGTTGTTTTGTTATTATAAACGCGGCCCGCGGTCATGGAAAAAACGACGAAGGGGCGAAATACGTAACGGTTTTTCCGTTCGGCCGCAAATCGTCGCGAGGGGTGAGTTCGGCGACCCGCGGGTATTGTATATTATTGTAGTGTGTCGCGCGCGACCCTCGTGGGAACGCCGGCCATCTGTAGCTATTCTCGGCCGGCACTTTGCACCGCGATGGACCGCCGCCGACAAGGCCGCTAATCCATGTATCGGCGTCGCGTCCCCGGGGGCTTACATCGCCGCACTCGTATACCGGCTTTGCTCTCGGCGGACAAGGGCGAAAAGTCGAGAGAAAACCAAATCCGCGGGGGCGTATTGCATGTACACGTTATACTGCAGTACGTATACGCATACATATAACGATACAAGGGTGCGTTTGGAGGATTTTACAATTTAAATTTTAAATGATCGACAGTCAAATCCACCCACCAGACATACCCTACACGTACATGATATGTATAAGCGTGAGCGAAAGGGCTACAGAACGCTACCCTCTTTCGACGATAATACGATGATCATATGAAGAGTATTAATAAAACCACTGCGACATTTAGAAAACGTTCCTCTGGGATGCCACTTCTCTATATTATAACACTGTGCATACCTACCATAATACATTTTATATTCATGACGGGTGTCGTAAATTATGAAACGGACGACGACAATTGACGCAGATCGCGTTAATTTCGGTTAGTTAAAGAAATTAAGTGGACCGACGAGTATACGTATACGTCTCGTCTGCGACGGGCAATTTGTTATAATTATTGACATTGTTAACGACCGCGGCGAACGACGACGTGCCGTAAACGGCCGAGAGTAATTAAACACGTTCGGTGGCGCCGGCGTAATAATTATATATACGAAGACGGAAAGAGACTTACGACCGGTGCGTTATTATTCTTTCCTCTTTGTTATTTTTTTTTTTACGTAATCTCATTTCACCGACATTCGTCCATAACTCACAACGCGACTATCTATCGATAAACACCGTGCACAGCACGGCGAATGGGAAAGCCGGAAAAACGGAGGCGACCGTACGGCATATCCGCACACACCTACATAATAATAGTTTACTATCCCGTGCAACGACGTCTAAACACACTTAAATACGTAATGTCGTGATCACATACCTAGGCCGATTTTCTTGCGGATTTTCTTGAGACCTTTCATTTTGAACTTGAGCGGCGCCAAGAAATGGTCTACGGTACACTGGCACGGAGGTTCGGGAGCTACAGCGACGGACCTGCTGACGACGACGTTGTTGCTGCGGTTGTCGGCGTTGCCCAGTACACCCATTTAGCGGGATTTTTTGCGCGCGCGACGATCTCTTATATTATATGAACACAAAGTGCGACGGACAAACGTCGTGTCGCGTGCGATAATTTTAAAATAATAATTATACGCAATCGGATAACTGATAGAACGGCGCGGGGTGGACACGTGTGATATTGATCGTAAATTTGTTCCGATGCGTCGTCCGAGGGGATAATAAATGGATATGTTATCACCGCGGCTTCGTTACGAGTAGTGTAGCGGTGGTGAACGCGACGAGGAGCGAACGCGTACTGAACGTGATCGGCTCCGGAAAGGAACTGACGAGTGTTGCTGCAACGCTGCCGAAAACGACCGCCCGCAGTACGGTGTGAGGGCACGCGTCTCCCGCAGCCGACATCTGCTCGCCCGGCGGTGCATTGGTGGGGGGCAAGCGCACTCGCGCGCAGGTGGTGTGTACAGCGCCGCCGTACACGACGACGACGACGACGACGACAGCGATACGCCGCCGCCAAGCACGTCGTGTATAAATTATATAGAATATTGTTATAAAGTGCGTATCGTTATACGGGAATTAAAATTATAAATATATATATATATAGATAGATACGCGTAATATTATACGGGAGAACGTTTTCACCTGGTGCGCGAATAATGGGCGGCGACGGGGAATGAATGAATATTATAATAAAAAGCGAAGAGGAGGAAACACCGGAGCGCGCGCGACCGAAGCGTGTGCGTCTCCTTTGACCGAAACAATGAGACCGTCGTAAAAAAAAAGTCATACACAAAACGTCTTGTAGACGTCCGCCGAGAATATAATAATATAAGCACTCTACCCCCTGGAGACGTGTAAAGGCGATTTGGTTCTCGAGAGGACCTGCTACGGGCAATAATTATTATTATGGACGTACGACTCGGTGGCGTGCGTCGTCCTATACCTATCTACACACGACAATCGTTTCCGACGGTGCGCGAATTGCTTAGGTTTTCACAAAGGAACGGGCCAACAGGTTTCTCACTGGCTCTCGGTTCGCCTAACGTTATAAAAAAATGTGATCCAGTGAATTTTTCGAGAAGAAAAAATCGTAATTATTTTGAAGAACACCATCGAAGTTAACGATTACACTCGCGTACGTTAACATGACGCACCGAGTAATAACTACAATTTATAATATTAATTAATATGTTCCGGCAATACGCGGTGATTTACCTATAATTATACCTATTGGTCATTTGTTCAATTGATTTTGTGACCATTCACTATTTGAACGCCAATCATTATAACAATAGAGTTTATCGTTAACAATATCATTATACATCGCCGATACCATAGTAATTTATCATTATATCGTTAATAATGATTACCGAAACGTGAACGAACGAGGACACCTACTGATGAGTCGACGACTTAAATAACCGTACAGACCACCCATTCAGTATTCACATTTCACAGTCTAATAATTAACTTCACTATTGAACAATATGCGGCACACATTCATACATTCATTAAAAACTTATTTCATTTATTTGTAGTTCATAATATTATAGTAATATACATTTTGCTGGTTTGAATTTTGACATCGTTTTATCTACAATAAGTCACTTTTATAGACAATTTTCTCATGCTTGTAAGATTATTATTTAGTAATTAAACAACATGTAATATATAATATTAAAAAATTATTCAAATCATTTAAGAACACTGGGAATCTAACTTTTGTTTTGATATGCTAAACTATTATGCAGTCACAACTTCACATTAACGCTTGTTTCATCTAAATGATAACCTATAGGCTATGAAATAATAGCCAACAACTGTAAATAATATAATTATCATCGATAAGTAAGAAAATACAAAAAAATCTATTCATGCCATTCAATTATAATTTAACAAATGCGATAAAATTACTTGACAGGAATTTTGTTTTTAAAAATAGTTTTATGTATATTTTTGAAAGCCTCGAAACAAATTCTTTATTCCTCTCAAATTACACAACACTAATTTATATTAAATATACTAAGAACAGTACCAATAATATTTATTTTTATTTTTAACATACACCTGTCACAGTTCACAAGAAAAGATACAAACGTTTAAGAACATGTACATCTGAACATCTGGTTTTAAGGGAAATAATTATACAATCAGATGTAGTTATTATTTTTTACCTACTCTATACATTACACCTGTTGACCAATGATCTTACATAGATTAAATAGGAAAAAATAATTTCATGGCGACTATATTTTCCTGTATCCCACGATCTGTGCGATCTCGTATCACGACGGAATGATTTTAGATATTCTTTTTTTTATCAGAACACGTTGCAATGCAGCCTCTGTAATTATTACTGTATGTCTGTACATGTAATTTAATACCATAAAAACGATGATTAACATTGTTGACACTCTGTACTGGTAAAAATATAAGCTAATTGTGAAATAACATTTATTAAAAATATAACCATCGATCAGCGATATTCATTTTTTAAATTAAACAATTACTAAAAAATACATTCAACATTTATTTAACAATATATTAATACGAATTTTATCAATAAACGTCATACTTTTGCACTCTGATATCATAAAATTATAGTTATTTTTCATTATTATAAGCTATCCACGATGTATAAAAAACCATTAATGCCTATAACACAGTAATACTTATTAGTTAAAACTTATCCGTATTATGTTATATGGTGTTATACACGCGCATACGTAATATTATAATATAAAATTTAAATAGGTCATCGAGCTCTATAGATATATTATATTATGCATACTATATTTAAAATGCGAATCTAACTATAAAACGATTCATTCTAAGTACCAGTACGTACCATATATTCATTATACACACGTTTATACGTATAATGCATTATATAATATATAAATTATAATATTTAATATTTAAATCTACTGTAACAACAGGGAACCGCCTCGAGTCGAGAGTAGTCGTGCTGTTTGTGGTAAACGGTGCCATAAACACGCGTGCGTTACGAGATACTATAAACGCGGTCGGCGGTAACCAAAAACCGACTTGTTGCAGTGGCGATTAGGAGGAAACGACGACGAACAGCAAAACTTATACAAAACCGACAGCGAAGGCGATATCTTAGCAGTGGTAACACGAGTAAAACAAACTCAGGGGGTGACCGGCAGCACTCGACCTCGGGCTTCCTGCTCGGGCGAAGATACGAGCGCAAAAGACTGTGAAATTCTTTACGGCCCGATAAATCACATCCGCCGGAAACGGTCACGGTGCTGTAGTTGAGAGCTACGCATGAAGGAATCGCGCGACGTCAACGACAGCGGTAATGGAGATTCCGCTGTATACCAAATAATATTACTGCGTAACTATGCGCGTGCTATCTATAACCACTTATATAGGCGTACAGCGTAAATCGTCAGCGGTTTAATGGATTCGTCGCGATTTCGGTGCGCGTCAAAGTGACGACACAATAATATTATATTTAATGTAATATATACAGTATACACATAACAATAGGTGGACTACGATGTCGAGAAGAGAATATTGTTATTCCATCGATTAAACAGAATTATATTACATCGCAACCAGAGTTTACAAAACCGTTGGCATTGGGAGGAGGTCGCCCCCGCGCTCCACAAGTATAGGTCGGCTGCAGAAGACGTGGCTGGGCGCATGATGAGTATAGGTATATAGAACCGACGATCGTGGGAAACGGTAAAAACCCGAGTCGTAGACGGTATTTAGATGGCGGTGGCATTAGAAACGATTGCTGCGCCGGAACGAAGGTGAGTGTATGTGTGAGATATGTATACTTATGCGTGTGTGCGTGTGTATGTGCGTGTGCGTGTATTTGCGTGTGGAGCGCGATTCTCACGACGCTGACCGCGGGCGCACGTCTGTTATATATCGCGCGATCCTTTCCCCTCTCGCAAACGGGTCATCCAGCGGTGGGGACTGGGGGCCTGACATGATCGTGGCTAGTGGAAAGGAGAGGTATAGAGCATCGATCGTCGATCGTCGATCGTGTGAATCCGTCGTGCGAAATCCTAAGGGGGCGATTGTATTTGTATATAATGTACAAAAAGTGCAGCACGTTTGTATATTGACATAGGCATACAATGCGGATACAGCGTAATTATTTGTGTCTTGGCAATGACTAAAGACAGTAAGAGATATACTTAAAATAACGTCAACAACAATGCACCAATACTTTAAAAGCAGCAACAAACCATATTATACAAAACTGAGACTAACACTCGAATGGTTAAGTCTAACACCGGATAGACATCGTATAATGACGGTATTCCAGTTCGATGGAGTTCTACAGTCACCAAGTACGATTTTAGGCTTTTTTTTCATCCGGTCACACGCACCGGACATAGTCATGATATACGAAACGCTCCCACTCATCGGCCGCCGTGCCAAAATTGTATCACTAATGTTTTTATTTATTCTTAACGAAAAAAAAATACTTGTCTAAGCCGCACGATCTGTTTTATATACGCATTATAAGCATTTAACCTGTACTATGTTTATATAATACAAAAATATTACAATGGGGTCATGTTATATTAATATTGATTTTCATCGTGTTTTTTCGCAATACATACTAATGCAAACATTGGTTGAAGAAAATCATTATCTATTTGTAATATTTTTAAATTACATAATTTTATAATTATCAAACATCACTTAGGAATCTCATAAGCTTTTTAGCGATATTTTAGTATTATTATTTACATTTTAATTTTATGTAAGTTTTAATACATCCAAATACAATCATATTGTTATCTAGTTAATAAGTATGAACGTAAAAAGAGAAGGGAGATGGCTTAGATAGACTTAGCCAACCCTTTATCATTTCAAACCCACTTAAACTAATTATAAACTGCAAATAAGCGAATTAAGATAATAAATTTTTGTTCATTTTTTACATATTGTATAAAACTATAAAAAGAGATTTTATTAAATTTTGAATAATACTATGATAATGATATGGTCGATATGGATAAAGTTGTAGATCTAGATCTAACTGCAGGTTGTTGAACAGTGAAGGATAATTTATAGAAGTAATAAAACTATCATCACTGATAAAATTAAACACCAAAATTATCTTATAAACAGAAATACTCCAATATTTTCTTCTTTCTAATGTTTTAAAGAATATTATGAATTATGATACCATGATATTTTTACTACAGTCACGTATGTGTATGAAATAGGAATTCATAACTTTATTTAAAGTTTATTACCAATTACTATCTCATTTCAATTTAGTAATGTATTAAAATTTGAAGTATTGATGAATTTTACCGGTTGTTCATTATTAATAAATTATTAGTTTA